GGAGGTGCGCGCTCTGCTCGGGCAGCGGAGAGCTCTGCTCGGGCAGGTGAGCGGTCTGCTCGGGCAGGCGAGAGGTCTGCTCGGGCGGGTGAGCGGTCTGCTCGGGCAGGTGGCTGAGCTGAGGGAGGAGGTAGAAAGGCTAAGAAGCATCAGAGAATGCGAAAGCGAAATAGATTGGTGTAGCTACGCCCTGAGGCAAGGGCAGAGGGAAGAGGTTGAGCAAGTGATGGATCCCCGCCCCTCCTGACATCAGACAGAAGGAGAGGACTCAAGAGACAGGGAGGAATGGAGGGAGGTCCGTCCTAGGAGAGGCAAGTGAAAACCCTCCCAACCCCCTCCACCCTCCCAGTTGCCCTTGAATAATAGATATGAGGCTTTGGAACTTCAGGGCCAGGCAAATGAAGATGGAGGGATAGATCTATCTAGTGAGTCACCTAGGGCTTGTCACTCACCCCCATGCCCTAGGACTTCTTCAATTAAGAAGAAAAGGAGAGTAATTGTGGTGGGTGACTCCCTTCTGAGGGGAACAGAAGGGCCCATTTGTCGAACAGACCCATCCCACAGGAAATCTGCTGCCTCCCTGGGGCTCGGATAAGAGATGCTAAAAGGAAACTCTCTGATCTGGTACAGCCCTCTGGCTACTACCCACTGCTGTTTTTTTCAGGTTGGCAGTGATGAAATTGTTACAAGGAGTCCAAGGGTAATGAAGAGAGACTTCAGGGCCCTGGGATGGCTGCTTAAGGGGTCTGGAGCACAAGTAGTGTTTGCCTCCATATGTCCCGCAAGAATGGGTGGAGAGGTAAACAAGAGGAGTCTGCAGATAAATTCATGGCTATGTGACTGGTGCCAAAGGCAGGGCTTTGGGTTTTTCAATCACAGGCTTCTATATGAGACACCTGGCCTGCTGGTGGCAGGTGGGATGCACCTGTCCTGGAGGGGCAAAAGGCTTTGGGGGCAGTAGTTAGCAGGGGTCATTGACAGGGCTTTAAACTAGATATGAAGTGGGAAGGGAACATAACTGGGCCTGTTAGGGACGAGCCCAAGAGCAACATGCCAGGGCTTGAAGGATGGTGGACTAGGGAGGATTCTCAATCTGCTGTTACATTTGAGAAAAAGGATAGATGTTTAGACCCTGTCCTGCAAGGGAAAAAGGATACTAGGGCAAGAGTTAGCAGGGCTCATTCACGGAGCTTTAGGCTAGATTCAAAGTGGGAGGGGGTTGTAGCTGGGCTTGAACTAGTGGGGTATTTCTCTAGCATTAACAAAGACCAGAAGGCCTCCTGCCTCCTTGCCTCCACAACCCTGGACTTCCGCAGGGCCGACTTTGGCCTCCTCAATCAATTTTTAAGGGAAGTCTCATGGGAAAGGGTACTAGGTGGTAAAGGGGCTCAAGATAGTTGGTCAACATTCAAGGACCACTTCTCCCAAGCTCAGGATCAGAGCATCCCAATGGGTATGAAGTCAAGTAAGGGAGCCAGGAGACCCACATGGGTAAACAAGGAACTGGTGGGCAAACTCTAGTAGAAAAAGAGAACCTGTGGATCATAGAAGGAGGGGCTGGCCACTTGGGAGGAATATAGGACAGTTGTCAGAGGATGTAGGGAGGCAATTAGGAAAGCTAAGGCCTCCTTGGAATGTAACCTTACAAGTCAGGTCAAGGACAAGAGAAAGGGCTTCTTCATATGCATTGCAGATAGAACTAACATTAGAGGCAATATAGTCCCACAGCTGAATGAGGTGGGTGCCCTGGTGACAGAGGATATAAAGGCAAAGGTGCTGAATGTCTTCTTTGCTTCTTTCTTTACTCCGGTGGACTCTCCCCAGGGGCCCTAGATCCCTAAAGCTCCAGAAGAAGTCAAGATGGAGGAGGAGTTTGCTTTGGTAGATGAGGATTGGGTCAGGGATCAGTTAAGCAGTCTGGACATCCATAAATCGATGGGTCCGGATGGAATGCACCCAAGGGTGCTGAGGGAGCTGGCGGAGGTCATTGCTAGGCCACTCTCCATCATCTTTGGTAAGTCGTGGGCAACAGGAGAGGTGCCTGAGGACTGGAGGATAGCAAATGTC